TGTACAGAGGCAGCTGGCAAAAGGAGGGGTTCGCCTCGGTGACATCCTCAACAAAATCTTTGACCCACCTCAGGAGTCGGGACCAACACCTTCTGCTACGCTGATTAATTTTTTATTTTTATTTTTTTATTTATTTACGTATTTTAAAGAAAAGATTGAGGCCGGGGTCCTCACAGTCTACCCGGAGTGACCGAACCGAGATTGCTGAGAACCGGGCTCAGTGTCCCTCATATGATGATGATGATGATGATGATGATGATGATGATGATGAACTTCTGCTGAATCTATGTAAACTTTGAGATAATCATACTAGTGATAATGATGCTAATGACGATGATGATTAGTATATAAAAAATATAGAAGACTATACTGTATCAGCAATTCTGGCCTCCTAATCTTAGAACAACTCCTAGCCCTCCCTGTACCCGGATATAACATCTCAGAGACAATGCCATCCTAACCAACAAAAAACAAAGCTTACCTGTTCTCGCCACCTGGACTTTCCCCAGACCCATAGGTTGTCAAGGCAGCCCCCCCCGCTCCGCCACAGGATTGCCTTCCTCCCTCAGCAAAACCCCAGATCTCTCTACAGGCCTCACACTCCTGCCATTTGCAGGTTACAGGGCAATGCCCCAGCTCCGGCCAGCGTCATTCTGGCATCGGCAAACCAGGGCACAGAACGAAGCAACTTTGCAGATATCAGTCCAGATTCGACCATCTCTGAAATCCTCTATCCCAAATGAGGAAGAAGGCCAGATGCTGCCAAGAATTACAGAACACCAGCAAGTTTTTTTTTCTTTTCTTTTTTTTTGATGATGATGATGATGATGATGATGAGTGAGTAAAATATAGAAGACTATGCTATATCAGCAATTCTGGCCTCCTAATCCTAGAACAACTCCTAGCCCTCCCTGTACCAGGATATTACATCTCAGAGACAATGCCATCCTAACTAATGTCAACTGTAGCTGACCGGTTCTCGCCACCTAGACTATCCCTGGACCCATAGATTGTCAAGGCAGCCCCCCCCGGTTCACCACTGGATTGCCTTCCTCCCTCAGCAAATCCCCAGATCTCTCTATAAGGCCTCACACTCCTGCCATTTCCAGGTTACAGGGCAACACCCCAGCTCCGGCCAGCGTTGTTCTGGCATCGACAAAACAGGGGCATAGAACAAAGCAACTCTGCAGATATCAGTCTGGATTCAACCATCTCTGAAATCCTATATCCCAAATGAGGAAGAAAACCAGATGCCGCCAAAAAATACAGAACACCAAAACGTTTGATATAGCATGATTGAAGACTATGGAGTTCTGAAGCACCTGTTCTGTGAAAATTAATTTCCCCCCTCCCCTCCTTCCCACCCTAGCCCAATGCTGCCTCCACCGAAACGGATTACCCAGATCACACGCATCCCATCTCAGCCCCAACTTGGGACAGTCCCACATTCCCCCCCATTATCCCTCAAAGGCATACAGTTCGCTCCCAAAGTGTGCCTCTGCTTACCTTTTACCCTAATCTGCCCCCGCCGGGATGTGTATCCCCACCCCAACCCCCGCTGGGATGTGTATCCCCATCCCAACCCCAGAATAGAGCAACCCACTAAATCTGTTCACAACCCCTCCATGGCTTCACCTCCCACCTGGCGACCCCCCTGTAGAGTGGAGCTCTCCCCTATTCACTCTACCTCCCCTCCATCAGGAAAAAAAACGTTGATGCTCAGAGAGGAGAATATAGATACCAGGAACAGGCATTCGAACCAAAAACATTTACACTGGAGGAATTTTGAAGACCAGGTTTCTATAAAAGAATTGGATAAGAGTCAGCTCATGGAAGCAAATGCAGCGAAAATTAAAGCATGGAAAGTGAAAAATGCAGACTAGAGAAATCTAGAAGACCAAGTTTCTGCAATAGAATTGGATGAGAGTCAGCTTATGGAAGCAAATGCAGCGAAGATAAAACCATGGAAAGTGGAAATGCAGATTGGAGATTCAAAAATTTGAGATATAGGAATTAGGTAGGCAAGCCTGTTTCCAATAATACCATGATCATACAACATGCATAGTCAAAATTAGAACTATGGAAGGACAAACACACTTCACTACTCGGAAGAACACTAGCTATTAATAATGTGGTGCTGGCCTCAATTTGGTATAAATCTGCTATATGGGGTCTGGATAAAGTCACCCTAAAAGTATTGCAAAGACAGTTAGCAGCCTTCCTGTGGCGTAAGAATCATGAATGTGGAAATGTCATTAGTAGGGTGGCATGGCTAACTATCATCCAACCAAAATCCAAAGGAGGTCTAGGCATTATTGATCCTAACACCCAAGGGATGACCTTGTCCATCCAATGGCTTAAGCGCCTCCTTTTCAATCCTCAGACCCCTTGGAGCATGCTTGCGTCTGAACAAATTAGAAGACTAGCACCCCCCAGTTCCAAATTAATTGACCCCCTCATGTGGTTGGAAAATCGATTCTGGTCACTCCCGAGAGGCAGTTCAAATGCTCCCCAAAACCCATTACCCTCAGATCGTCAAACCGCCAGGGCGGACCTTCCTAGAGATCAGTTTTGGATTGAATTGCTGAAAACTTGGAGAAAACTACCACTTCCAGATAAGTCGGCACCGATAAGATGGGAAGAGGTTTGCCAACAACCACTCTTCAACAACACACTCATCAGAGATTCCCAAGGCTACACCCTTAACTGTTCTGATTCACCTTGGAAGGCGTGGATCAAAAAATGAATTACACTCATTAGGGACATCTGGAACACTGACGCCAGAGATTTGATCGATTCGTCAATCCTACAAGGAAGACTTAGATACTGTCACAATCAGAAAGAAGCTCTAGAACAAATAATTGACATAGTCTCATTGGAATGGGTCAGACTTCTGAGAAAAGGACCCACTCTTAATTCAAACGATTGAGTGTCCTTATTAGACCAACCAGGAATAGTGGGGAAGGTGGATGAAGTCTGTACCACGGGAGATATTTGCTTATCATTATTTGACCTGGGAGACGGTTACTTGAGAACTAGGACACAACAACAGACATGATGGTTCAAAAAAGATACGTTGTTTAGGATCAGAGTCCTATCAATTCAAGAAAAGTGGTTGGCCTATAAACCGAACCCTCCCATCTCCCACGTTCCCTTAGATCCAGTGTGCTGGTCTTGGTCATCCTTGACTGGCAAAGGTAGTTCTCACACTACAATGCTTCATACACTGTCAGTCAAGTCCACTTACAGGATGCTGCGGCCCAAGGTAAATATCAAGGACAGAATAGAGGATCGATGGATGAGGCACTTAAATGTAAGTAAAGAAGAATTGAGACCAGTAAAGTGGTTCCATACCATTAAAGCTAGACCGACTAAAATGGCATCACTGCAATGGCAAATTACTCACCGATGCTTACCCACCAACGACTGGATTATTGACAGAACCTCGCTTGAACAAAAAGGAATAGCCCTGCCCTGGTGTAAGTTTTGTAAATCTGCATTCCCATCCAAACTAATTCTGGAAACTATTGAACACATTTTTCTGCAATGTCCAGGATCGGTATGGCTATGGCGCTGGTGGGACAAAATTTGCAATCATTTAGAAACATCCCTCCCCTGGCCATGGAGCTGGAAAGCGCTTCTCCTTGAGACCTGGAACCCAATTCAAGTGGAGAACTTCACATCCAATTTATTCATAATAGGAAGAAGGGCAGTCATTTGGGCATTATGGACGCGCAGGTGTACTTACGAAATGGAAGGTGCTCGTCTTGATGATCTGGAATTTACAGAAACCATCAAACAACAAATTCAAGTAGAAATTACTACCAAATGGGAATCCTTAAAAGAGAAACTCAAATTCCTTAATTCAGAAAATAATATTAAGCTTCACATCCAAACATTTAATCAAAACTGGCTTGGAGGGGACCAAGGAGGAAGGCTGGGCAGGTGAAATGGGAAGGAATACAAGACAGTGATTAGGATATGCTTCCAAGAAATTACCGCCTGATCTTCAATGACTGGAGCAATGTTGACCCCATGATCCCAATGAGACCATTATGAGAGTTTCCGGATCCTTTCCCTCATGCAAGTCTGTCAATGGTTCCCAGGTCGTGGTATACGCCTGACCCAAAATAAATACTCATACCAGGAGTCTATCCTCTCTGCTCATAATCTATATCACCCTCTGGTTTTTTGTACGATGGAATGGTTGAGTATACGCAGATCTGTTGCCTGAACATGGCAAGTTGGGCCAGGTTCCCAGCAGGGAGTGACTAGGAAGTTTGGAAGCGCTAGTTAGACATGCATATCTGGCCCCCGTTCAGGGTGAAGAGGCGCAGGAACAATATTCTCTTATCTTTTCCTTTTCTATTCTCATATCTGTTCAGATGGGACGATGGGCCTGGTTCCCAGCACTTGCTGTTCCTTGTCTC